ATAAAATATAATAATAATTACATTGTTAACCAAATTTATCCTGTTTACATTGTTAATAAGGTATATCATAATTGCACTATTGAAACAATGTATTATAATTACACTATTAATACTTTGACCGCTGCGACACCAACACGTGGGTGACAGAGTTATTTAAAATTTAATTTTCGAACATTAACTTCTTCACCAGTCAATTATAATTCCTTAATTTTATTAAGATTCGCAAGAGGTAGAAGAATGTTGGAAAAGTAATGTACGTCGCATACATTTTCTGTGCAGTTTTTACATATTTCACCGAATAAAATACCTTATAATGTTACAAAATGACACGGTAAATAAAATCGACTTGAAAGATTCTGCAAACGCAAATGTTAAAAAGTTCACGCTTCCACTTTGTATCTGAAAATCGTTGTAGACGCAAAGGAAATGATCGTAAGGAAATGATTATATAAATTTCTTACCTCAAGCATAGATTTTAATAAAAATAAGCAAACAGTCTAAATTAATCCAGCCCAATTATTCTTACAAAAGGGACACGTATGAATCGTTTTCCGCACTTTTAGAAAAAGCAGAACTATTAAAAAAGGAAGACAGTCTTTTATCTCGAATCTTCTTCCTTTCTCTAATCAACATTTATTTCACTTTCCACTTCGAACACTGTTGGAGTCGAACATAACTAACTAGTAGCCGATTTCCCCCCGCCCCCTTCGGGAGACTGTGTCACAGCGTGGACTGTGCCGCGAAGCGTTCCGAGTTTCCGTGTTATTGGATCAGAACTTCGGAGCATCTCGTGTGTGCGATAATCCCATGATTCATTCGAGTCGTATATCGATCGACAGCCCATCGGAAACTCGCGTGTCACCGGTTTCGCCGTTGTGGACGCGCCAGTAGGATGGACCCGGTGCACAATGGCTGAAGTGTTCTCTTTTTGAGTGAGTCAGGAGGCCCGGACGGCGACGTCTGCCAAAATATTGTACGTATGCTCGCGCACCGCTCGCAGCTTTCAGGGAGGCGAGACAATGACGTCATTCAGTGGAAAGGGACGATAAGGAGAGACCGGAGGCGGCCCGGAGGAGGTGGGACGTTAAAGTCCCGATTCGTGGCAGAGCCCGTGGCCAAAGAGACCAAAACGGTCCCGGCCGCGCTCCTCGATAAACAAGAATTCATCCTCCGGCGTGGAAACAGAAACACCTGGAGAGAATTTGAAATTTCGTTAGCTAGCGCGCACGTTATAAGGTCCCGCTTCTCTGGCGCAGTCTGATAAAAATTTCGACGGGCAATCGAGGCTAATGGAGGCGTTATATTAATACCGCCGTCGCGCTTCACACATTTCCGAAGGTTGTTCAACCTTCTGTCAGCCCGTGAGTCATCAAAGTGCTCGACTGATAACTTTCCTCCGATAGTTATTTTCTAAAAGTATTACTCATAGCCCCGGTGCCGTTGACCCTGCATCCCGGAGGCCGAAGGTCGTCCACGCCCTACGGTTTAGCTTACAATTAGTCCGCGTCACAGGCTCGGGAGACTAAACACGTAGAGAACGCTTCGGAAAATGATACTTCAACAACATCTTCCGCACAGCCGAGCCAACCGTTGGAGAGTAATTTGTCTGACAGACGCTGATTGGTGTCGCTTGGTCAAAAAGAAAGAAGAAGAAATGTTAGGTTATCGGACCGAGTTAAAAAAAAAGTGGGCTTTTTCCGGAGATAATTGGGCCGGTGACATCGGACGACGCGAAGAGAGACGTTCAGCTTTTCGAGTAACCCTCGTTATACATTTTAGAACGTACATTGCAAGAATTCGACGATTATCGATCGTGCGAAAACAATTCGGAGATTCGCTGGAAGCTTCTGTGCTTTTACTTCCGTCTATGTTTGTGCGAGAAAATGTTGATTCTGTAATAAATTAAATATCGGAATCTCTCTCTCTCTCTCTCTCTCTCTCTCTCTCTCTCGAACATAATGCTGCAATTTGACCGAATAGTACGGTAATGTCTCCCTAATTGACGCTCAGATTGTGCACAGAAATGGGCAATTTGGGGAGACGAGATAAGATTATTCAAAAATTGACGATTATGCAAAAATGGACAATTTTGGGGAGAAGAGATACGATTATTCGAGCCTTGCGGTTCGATTTTATAGTTACGAATTGTCAACAACTATAAGAATGAGCTGCAAGGCTCGAATAATCGCATCTCTTCTCCCCAAATTGTGCGTTTTTGTGGACAATCTGAGAGTCAATTAGGGAGACTTTACTGTATTAGGTTGGAGCATATGAAATGTCCCGTTTTCGTTATGCTTTTGTTTTTGGCATAACTTCGTTTATAGTCGTACCGTCCATTGCCAGAGTCACGTTTCAACAAAGAAGATTTTCTCAAAAGTGTTCCATTTTGTTATTTGTTTTAAATTTCGTGAGGGCATGAATTCAACCGATATTCGTGTGTGTGTAATTTTTTAGACGAGTATAAACTTGGTATTAATGTTGCAAAAGCTGCGCGCAATACAGACCAGACGTTCGGGGAGAATACTGTTAACGATCGAAAAGTTCAGCGTTGGTTTGAAAATTTTCGGTCCAGTGATTTTTCCCTAGAAAATGGACCGCGTGGAAGACCCAAAACGTCTGTGAAAAATGATGCTCCGAAAGCATCGGTGGAAACGAATGTGACCGGAGTAATTCGCTACTCGTTCCTTCGAACCGGGGAGACAATTACAGCCGAAAAGTACTGCCGGTACATCGATGAAATGCATGAAAAATTGAAAATAATGCGCCCATCGCTTGTTAATCGGCGTGGCCCGATACTTCTCCGCGACAACGCTCGGCCGCACACGTCGTACAAAACAATTGCGAGATTAAATGAATTAAAACATGAAATCTTGCAGCAGCCAGCTTATTCGCCGGATCTTCCGCCAACCGACTTTCATTTCTTTAACCCGAGAAAGATAACCTACGTCGCAGAGGCGCCTGCGAAGACTGTTGATTTTTGTTAATTTTTCATAGAGGTCTAGTGATTTAAGTTTAAAATTACTTAAAATATAAAAAAATATAATATAAATGCATTTTATTTTTACAATAATGCCAAACCTTTAAAATGACTAGATTAACTTAAATAAATATCCATTGTTAGTATAAAATTGACGCCTTAGAAAAGCATGCGCCTCTGAAGCGTATGGTTATCTTTTACGTACGTTGTCATATGGTTATCTTTCTAGGGTTAAACATTTAGAACAGTTTTTACGGGCTAAATAGTATGAAAATGAAGACAGTCTGAAAAATTCCATATCAGAGTTTATCGATTCTAAAGATCAGAATTTCTTTAAGACCGGCATCTGTGCACTAAAATCTCGTTGGGAAAAGTGTATCCAAGCAAATGGAGCATATTTTGATTACATAAACAGCTTTTGAAAAAAGATACACGGTTTCATATATATTCACTTGAAAATCCGACATTTCATACGCACCAACCTCTCTAATAATAATAAATTGACCATCAAAATTAACCTAATAATAAATTGAACATCAAAATCAAACATAATACAGCAATTTGACCGGATAGCTGCAGGCACGGTTTTCAAAGAGCCTCTGCGCGCGCCAGCTCCGTTCCTCCTCTTCCGAGCGAGACACGGAAAGTACACTAGTCCCGGCTAATCTTTTCAACAAACATGGCCGGGTGTCGAAAGAACGTGTGCAGACCTCTCGAGACGAAACAATGACTGCCGTGGACACGGAATCAATAACAAAGGCGCTTGACATCTCGAGTTCCACTCCGGCGATACGCCGTCGCTCTGCCACAACACCAATTGTTTCCCTAATTCTCACCTGTTTCCGACACCCTGCCACGATTTCTCTTCGGGAAAATTTGCAGACGCGGAGTCGTAAAGTGCCCCCTCCCCCCGGCCCCGATATCCGGCCTATTCCCTGAAAACCGTCTTTCCTTTGTTTCATCGAGCACGACGCCCGCTTCTTCCCCATCGGCTTCTTCCTCGCCCCCGGAATCCCGACTGAACTTTCTCGGAAAGGTTGAACGCGTCCCTTTTATGGGACGTTCATTTGGCCGCGCTGCCACTTCAGCGGACCAACCGGCAACCCTTGTTAGGAGAAACCGGCATCAAGGACAAACCGCTGGTCTCGCCTCTTACTTCGCTCAGCCTTGGATCAAGATATCACCTCCTCAAGAAAATCGCTACCAAGTTACGAAAATTATTGCCGGATTCGTGTGCCTGCGAGAATGATTCCCGAAGCTCCGCGATTCTTTCTCTGAAGCTGCACGCCGACGCGTTTATGGGACACTTACGGCGAACTAAAATAAAGGTTGCATCACCCTGGGATGATGCATCCATTTTCGCTTTACGCGAGTTGACTTTTGTTTATTGATAAAATGTACGTCTTGCGACATGATCAACAAGAAAGCAAACATCTTTCAGTATCTGGAAACGCAAGAGTAGCGATAAAAATTTTTCCATGTTATATTTTAGGAACTCATGACCGACCAAGAGTTCGTTAGGGCACTGCGAAACGCAGTGTTTCGTATTTGTTTCTACAGGGTGTCCCGAAAATGTCTCTCAATCCGGAAATGGGAGGTTCCTGAGGTCATTTGAAACAACTTTTTCCTTTGCGAAAATCTTCTCCGAGACTTCGTTTACGAGTTATTAACGAAAAACAGTGACCAATGAGAGACGAGCTCTACTTGGCCGCGCGCGGCGGCCCAGCCAACGAGTGCACGGAGCCCAGTTCCGCTCATTGGCTCGGCCGTCTCGCGCCAAATGATCTCGTCTCTAATTGGTCACCGTTTTCCGTTAATAACTCGTAAACGAAGCCGCGGATTGCATTTTCGCTAAGGAAAAAGTTGCTTCGAATGACCTCAGGAATCCCCTACTTTCGGATTGCGAGACATTTTTGGGACACCCTGTATAGTAACCTAAACGTATCAACTATCAAAGCCGAAGACAAAAACATTATAACCTTGACAAAAGAATGACGATGCAAGCGTAACGCTATCTATTGGTGCAAACCGAAATTACTTTATTGCCAACCCAATATAAACTCTGTCTCTTATACACATCTAGATGTGTATAAGAGACAGCTATCTATTGGTGCAAACCGAAATTACTTTATTGCCAACCCAATATAAACTCGGTCCATAGAAAAATATACGTCTTGCGACATGATCGATAAGGAAGCAAACATCTTTCAGTATCTGGAAACACAAGAGTAGCAATAAGAATTTTTCTATGTTATATTCTAGGAACTCATGATCGACCAAGAGTTCTTTAGGGCACTGCGAAACACAGAAACCTAATGATGGAAGTTGCATAGTCTGGACTCATGCATGCAACGCGTAACGTTCGTTGAAATTACATTTCCCTTTATAAAGGCTGCAAAGCAGAATTGGAACGAAAACAATGAAGACTCGATGCATTCACCATTTCACAAGGAAAACCGAACCCGTCGGGATCAATGAACCCGGTCACTTTCTACCGGTGTTCAATTATCCCGTTGAACTCCTGTCTTTGTAACATTGTGATCATTTATTAATAACTTTTCATTTTCATGCTCGTTTCTCAGTCGCGATTAGCATCGCAAAGCGCCCAGGGCAATTAGTTGCAACGCACTTATTCAACAAAGCGTTTCCACGGTAGCCGCAATCGAACCGGTGAAACTTTCGATTTGAATTTAGTTACGCCTTTCATTAAATCCGGTGGGCGAAAGTGTCGGAAGCTTTCAGAGCGTGTTCTTCGTTTAGGCGATCGCTTCTAATCGACTGGTATAGCAATTAAAGAAGAATATTCTGCGTGTGTGTGTGTGGACTTGGTTTACGAGTTGTATCTCTCTTGAGTCGATTTTTAAAAAGCGCTTATAAAATTGCGAGGAAACATTTGGAACGGAATAATTTTGTTGCAATTAGGCCAAGCGAAATTAATTCTTCTAATGCCCCTAAATGCTTAGATCGCCTGACCGAATTATAAGAAAGTTAATGCGTCCTAAATGATGGGCGATCAGTTTTGTGCGCGACTGTACGTTATCGTGACTCGAATATTAACGCTTTGACTGCCGCGTCACCCACATATATGGGTTACAGAATAATTTAAAAATTCATTTTCACGCTAATCTATTCTAATTTCTCGATTCTATCGAGATTCGCAATTCGCAATTTTAGCAATGCCAACAAAAGAAAGTAATCGATGTCATATAACTACGCTTTGCAATTTTAATTAAATCCAATCAAATACAATAATTATACGAAACTCTTGATGTTTTCGGCACGGCCGTCATAGTGTTAATAACAAACCCGCTGGAAATTCCCAGAAACAATGACTAGGCGCTTGCGTAACGCTCCGTCAGGTTTTGAAAAGACGTCGCTGAATATTTCAGTCCTGAAGTCATCGATTTTTCCTGTTCTCAATTACACAGGCATCCCGATGCACATCCTTAAGCATTCGCGGCTCGCGAAAATTTTTCCGAAGCAGTGAAACGTGCGCGCGATGGAATGTCGTTTTTTCCTTTTCCATTTCGCATCCGTTAATGGAATAGATTCGTGAATTCGGTATCTGGAAATTTGTCGCGAAAATCAGATAACCGCGCGCGATGCACCCTTTGAGTACGATTTGACTTGAAGTTCAACGGGAATCGACTGGAGGAAATAAAAGGTGTAAAGTAGGTTTGCGTGATACGGCAAGAACGTGATGAAGTAAGAGCCAAACTTTTTACCTTCTAAATTGGAGCACATCCCCGTGGATCGAAAGGCGTCTGGCCGAGCCGAGTCACTGTCCCGTTCGTCGACGAAATCACGACCGTCACGGCTCCTGTCCCTAATTGCCGTCAATTGCTGGCAATTGTCGAGCTGACCCTCCTGTGACCGGCTGCAATTTGCAGCTAGGTCGCGCGTCATCGCCGCTCGTCGCGCAAAATAGTTGTGCACGCGCTGTGGTTTTACGCTCTTTCTCGCTCTCTCTCGCTCTCTCGCTCTATCTTGCTCTCTCTCGCACTCTCGTTCTTTCGGGGGCGCTCTCTCTCTCTCTCTCTCTCTCTCTCGTTCCCTCCTCTCTAGCTCTCTCTCTTTCGTTCTCTCCTCTCTAGCTCTCTCTCTTTCGTTCTCTCTTCTCCAACTCTCTCTCGTTCTCTCCTCTCGCACTCGTTCTTTCGCTCTCTCTTTCGTTTTCATCTCTCGTGCACGCTCTCTCGCTCTCTCTTTATCTCTCTCGTTCTCTCTCACTCTCTCTCTCTCTCGTTCTCTCCTCTCGCGCTCACTCTCTCGCTTTCTCTCTCTCTCTCTCTCTCTCTCTCTCGTTTTCTCTCTTTTTCGCTCTCTCTCTCGTCCTCTCCTCTCTCGTTCTCTCTTCTCTCGCGCTTTCTCTCTAGTTCTCTCCTCTCTCGCGCTTTCTCTCTCGTTCTCTCCTCTCTCACTCTCTTCCTTTCGTTCTCTCCTCTCGCGTTCACTCTCTCGCTCTCTCGCTCTCTTGCTCTCTCTCTCTCTCTCGCTCTCGCTCTCTCGTTCTTTCGGGGGCGCTCTCTCTCTCGCTCTCTTTCTTTCTCTTTCTCTCTCTCTCTCTCTCTTCTCGTCTCTCCGTCGCGCCTTCTCGTTCTCTCAGCTCGCATATAATTACCGTCGCGACCGTTCGCGTGCGAGCGCGCACGCTTTGTAATAAACTTCGGCGGTTTCCTTTCGCCGCAACGCGGCCACCAGCGAAACGCGCGGATCGAAACTGTTGGAAAACATTGCAATTTGTGCGTTCCTCCGCGCAATTTGTCGATCGACGGGCCCCGGGAATGTCTGATTGCATATTTGCAAAGAAAGGAATAATTCAACAAGGCGATTGACAATTTGCAGACTCGTTTGTAGAATGTGGGCCGCGAATATGCTATACGCACCGACAATAATAACAACGGAGTTATGCAACCGTTGCGTCGCATTCAAAAATACAGTCTAGTTCGACGGAGTCTTCTCGATGCTACCGAAAGAATATAATTCCTGCGCATCTGTTTATCGTTAACGAAACGGCGCGAATAATTTCGGTTCGATATCGTTTCACTTGCGAAGATAGAAATGTTACAAATTTGTCGTATCGTATCACGTTTGACGAGCAAGAGTCAAGTTCGAAGTACAGTAATGTCTCTCTAATTGACGCCCAGATTTTTATAGTTATAAATTGTCCACAATTATAAAAACGGCTCGAATAATCGTATCTCCTCTTCCCAAATGATCGAATTTAGTAGACAATCTGAGCGTCAGTAAGGGAGACATTTCCGACAGTTACAGTAATGTCTCCCTTACTGACGCTCAGATTGTCCACCAAATTGGATAATTTGGGAAGAGGAGATAGGATTATTCGAGCCTTGCAGCACGTTTGTATAGTTGTTGACAATTCGTGACTATAAAAATGTGTCGCAAGGATCGAGTAATCGTCTCTCTTCTCCCTAAATTGTCCATTTTTGTGGACGATCTGATCGTCAATTAGAGAGACATTACTGTACAAGCGAACTACAGTAATGTCTCCCTTACTGACGCTTAGATTGTCCACTAAAATGGATAATTTGGGAAGAGGAAATACGATTATTCGAGCCTTAAATAATTGTGGACAATTTATAACTATAAAAATAAATCGCAATGCTCGAATAATCGTACCTCCTCTTCGCAAATTATCCATTTTTGTGGACGATCTGATCGTCAATTAGAGAGACATTACTGTACAAGCGAACTACAGTAATGTCTCCCTTACTGACGCTCAGATTGTCCACTAAAATGGATAATTTGGGAAGAGGAAATACGATTATTCGAGCCTTAAATAATTGTGGACAATTTATAACTATAAAAATAAATCGCAATGCTCGAATAATCGTACCTCCTCTTCCCAAATTATCCATTTTTGTGAACAATCTGAGCGTCAGTAAGGGAGACATTACGCTAAGCACGTTTTCACTACAAATAACAATCGTGAACGTCGACAAAAACACAGCATCTTCGGTGTAATCATGCTAAAAACATTGGGCTCCGCGGCAGATCCTTCGGATCTACGGAACAAATGACGGATGTCTCTCTGCAGAGTGTCCCAAAAATGTCTCGTAATCTGGAAATGGCGGGTTCCTCAGATCACTTGAAGCAACTTCTTCCTTTACAAAAATGTTCTTCGAGGCACCGTAATGTCTCCCTTACTGACGCTCAGATTGTCCACAAAATTGGATAATTTGGGAAGAGGAAATACCTGTCTCTTATACACATCTAGATGTGTATAAGAGACAGTCTCTCTGCAGAGTGTCCCAAAAATGTCTCGTAATCTGGAAATGGCGGGTTCCTCAGATCACTTGAAGCAACTTCTTCCTTTACAAAAATGTTCTTCGAGGCACCGTAATGTCTCCCTTACTGACGCTCAGATTGTCCACAAAATTGGATAATTTGGGAAGAGGAGATACGATTATTCGAGCCGTTTTATAATTGTGGACAATTTATAACTATAAAAATAAACCAAGCAAGGGTCGAATAATCGTATCTCCTCTTCCTGTATTGTCCACTTTTTCTCTTCCTACAGTTACAGTAGAGAAAGGAAGCTGCACGGATTTCTAATAAAACATTATAAAAGTACGCGAGGCGTACGCGGACGCCTTCGGGCAGAATGCATGAAAAATCCTGGTTGATGAGCCTCGATACCGCGTCTGGCGAACCCGGCCTTAATAAGCCGTGAAACAATCCTAATTACGCTATTTCCAGGGACAAGAACGGGGCTGGCACACGGGGTACGATGACGCATTAAATTAGCATTCCATTTCCGGCGGTACACCGTAACTCGCCCTCCAGCGTCGTCAGCCATTCAGGCTATTCGAGGTTTTGTACACAATTGTGAACACAGGCTCTGCATATTTATTATTATTTACGTCGATCTCCTTCGCGCGATCTAAACACTCCGAACCATCTAAATAATCATTTAGCCGCACGGTAAAATAATTACAAGTAATAAACGATAATTAGAAGGTAGATTCGCGTGCGGATTAATCGGTCAAATAAAAAGCACATAGTAAATTCTCTCTAATTGACGGTCAAATTGTGCACAAAAATGGAGTTGTTGGAATTGAAATTGGATTATGCACAAAAGCTGCCGATTGTCAACGACTATGAAAATGAAACGCAAGGCTCGAATTTTTCTCCTTTTCTCAAATTTTCCATTTTTGTATACAAGCCGGAAGAAAATTAGGGAGAAATTGGAAGTTTGTGCTCTCGACGTGTTAAATAGATTCTACGAAAGTCTGCTTACGTTTTATCTTTCAGTCGTCGAGTTAATAAATTTGCAGATATTTGCAATTTATATGTTGCTTACGGCAAATGTTACAATAACACTTGTTCAAAATCAGAATGTCTTATTGTTACTTCGATAATCTAATATAAAACAGCTGATTTTATGCTTCGTAAATCTAGTGTTAAAGAGCTCTCTATTAATATTACAGGAAATGACGTTCTTATGGTTTTCATAGTAATTATGCAATCATTTATTTATCATTAACATTTCTTAACGTATTGGACATTTCTCGTTAGCATGCAGATATTATTTACAGAGAAATACAAAGATTTGTACTACGACGAAATTAACATAACAATTGAACATAATACGAAGATTGACAAGAAGTTCAATGATCGTTCTTGTCAATAATGTTTCAAAACCAAGGCTGGGTTATTCAATGTTACATTTTATTCTTCAAAATACAGTAATGTCTCCCTAACTGACGCTCAGATTGTGCAAAAAATGGACAATTTGGGAAGTGGAGATACGATTATTCGAGCCTCGCAGCTCGTTTTTTATAGTTCTTGACAATTCGTAACTATAAAAACGAACCATAAAGCTCGAACGATCGTATCTTCTCTTCCCAAATTGTCCATTTTTGTGAACAATCTGAGCGTCAATTAGAGAGACATTACCGTACTTGTCAATACTCGCACAGTACAGACAGTACAACTATATTTCATACTGCAATATAAACTAACCAACATTCATACAATTGAAAAATATAGTTCACCATGCTCGACAAAGATTAATCCCGAAGATAAACGCAGAAAAAAGTTCTAAAAATCGAACTTAATAATCAACGCAGGTAACAGCTGCTTTTTCTGCTCCGTAAATCTAGCATTAATAAATAAATAAACAAAAGAAAAACACCTCCACCACAGGTTGCAGCTTCCCAGACGCAACACTGGTCGTAGCACAAGAAAAAAAAGGAATCGATTTTCGAAACCGGATTAAGGGCACGACCGCTGGGCGAAGCCCGCGTCGGTCACAGGGCAAGAACTCTCTAATGCGCCCCGATCGATTATTATTCCATCCCACATCGGCATCCACCGTGTGGCAACACCTCTTTGCAGCGCGCGATCGTTCGCGGCCTCGAAACAATGCCACGAAATCGATCCCGGGGAGCATGCATCAACGCCTATGCATTATGCATCTCCCGGAACCGCCCTAATCGCTTCGACATCGCCGCCCTCGGCGTTCCTTTCCCGGTCGCGTAACCGTGCACCACGCGAATCCACCGCGAAAGTGCGTGTGCACGCGTTCCCGGCACGCTCTGTTTACCATTTTCGAATGGACCTGTAGCCGGCGAGGCAGCGAGGCAGCCGCGGGCGAGCGCGTCGAGCTCGTGAAATTCAGGCGTCGCGACGCGACGCGGCTCGACGCGAGCGAAGGAAAAAGCGTGAACGAGAAGGGAAAAAAGACGAGGCGAGCGCTGAGAGGGCGCGAGCAAGCAAGAAAGAAAGAAAGAAAGAAAGAGAAAAAGAAAGAAAGAGAGAAAGAAAGGACGGAAGGAAGAAAGGAAACGGAGCAAGGGGGAAAGACGGCTGCCGGTCGAAATGCATACGGCTCGTTGGCCGATGGTGGGGCATGTTCGGGCAGATGTTTGGTCCATGCCACGAGGGCT